GGTCCTAAATAAACTTCTCGTTCGGTTTACAATGCTTGACTGACGATAAATCAACTCGATCCCTGTTTACACTCGGATTATTTTTTAGTAAATAAAATTTACATATTCAGAAACTACATTAAAACCGCTACAAAGTCTGATCAAGAAAATTTAAATTTGATAAAAATTTGTTATATAAAGTAAAAGATTAAGAGTGATTTAAGTTGACCAATGAATAGTGAGTGTGAAGTTCTTTTGAGACCGGAGGGAGTATAATATTAGCATTTAGAAACCCCTAGAATGTAGTATCTCCTTGGTGATGTTTTATACGGAGTATGATCTTTTTTAGAAGTCATTATCTTAGAATATACTCCCTCCGTTCTTTATTATCTGTCCCGCTAGCCTTGGACACGGGTTTTAATAGAAAAATAGTAGGGTAAATGTAGAGTGTGTAGGGTAAATGATAAAGTAGGAAAGGGAGTATATTAAAAAGAGTAAAGTGGTGATAAAGTGATGATAAAGTAAGAAAGAGAGTATATTAAGTAAAGTAAAGTTATGATAAAGTAGGAAAGAGAAAGTAGTTTGTAAAAAGTAAGAGGGGTAAAAGTAAAAAAAGTGGGGGTATTTTATCAAAAACTTTCCTAAAATAGAAAGAGAGACAAATAATAAAAATCGTCCAAAAATGGAATGCGAGACAGATAATAAAGAACGGAGGAAGTACTATATACTGCAGTTTCCTTGCATCGTATTATTTTTAGGGTGTAGCTTATATCTCATACTGTCATGCTAGTTTTGAAATTCCAGTGTTATACTTATAGCTGATCGCATTACATAGTTTGTCAATCAACTTGTGTTAATTGAGGTATTACTTGAACATAGGCTAGGAATGGCATAGCATCCATTTCTTGTGAATTTGTGTTATCCTTTACTCATCAATGCGTAATAGGATATTGGTGCAAATAATTGTCTTTATGATTCCTATTGCAGGACATTCTAAAGCGCATGGTCTTATTTTGCAAAGCAGCTGTTGAGGTATGTTAGCTCTGGTATTACACACTGTCCTCTGACTGCTGCTTCCTTTCAAAACCAACTCACTGATAAGCTAATTGGTCAATATGTAACCGTGAGTGATATTAACGATTGGAATGCACAACCTATAAATTCTAGTCTAATATGGGCAAATAGCTAGCAATTTAATCAGTAGAGTTTTTAGTTATTTTTTACTGCTATAAATAGTGTGAGAATGGAAAAGACAACAAGTGTGATTGCAAATAAGCTAATTTAGATGATGTCACCTGTTTTTTGTGAGTGCAAAGCATGGTTTCACTGAAGGGATTGAGTCACTTGAGTAATTTTTTGTTAAGTGGTGAGCAATTGGAGGTGCAGTTTGGTTGAATACTCCAATGAAGTGCTTAGGATTTGAATATGATTGTGAGCTTTTGACAATTTTGTATTTTCAATGCTGTTTTTGTGATTAGAACCTTGCATTCAACCGTAGGCCCCCTCCTTGATGAAATTATTGTTTTACTGATAAAGGTCAAATAATCCATGGCACATTTTCGAAACATGTAATTGCTCTCAATGTTAAAGTGTCTAATAGACTCTAGAAGAAACAAACACACACAATTAAACACCTTTTAAAAAATCTTTTGTAGCCCATAAACATCAGACCATTGCCACATCTCTGTTAACTCAAAGTGTAGTAAGCATTAAATCATCAAGTTCTCTATCTGGCATATTTTTTTTCCTCTACATGTTCTAGCTGCCATGGAAACACTTAATGAACTGTTACATTGGTAAATTAGGTTCCGTGGCATGTCCCTTGTGGTGGTGTTTGCTACGGAGATGGAAACTTAGTGTTTATTGCAAATGACTGGCATACTGCATTACTGCCAGTGTACCTGAAGGCATATTACCGCGACAACGGACTAATGACATTCACTCGATCTGTTCTTGTAATTCATAACATAGCTCACCAGGTTAGTTCCATGTTAATAGGTTTTTAAGAACAGCTCTCTATCTGTTAAAGAGTTTGTCCCAAATCGGTTAAATATGAAGAATATTTAAGATTTTGAGCAACTTCTCTTGTCTGGTTGACCTGTTAGAATGAAAGTTCAAATCTCAATACTATAACAGTGCTTTCTCAAATTTTTACCCTGTATTGACTCATTCATGCGAAGGGGAGCCTCGGCACACCGGTTACGGTGTTGCTGTGTGACCGAGAGGTCACGGGTTCAAGTCTTGGGAGTGGCCTCTTGTCAAAATAACAAGGGAAGGCTTGCCCCTTATACACCCTTGTGGTGGGACCCTTCCCCGAACCCTCACCTTGCAGGGACACTAATGTACACTGGGCTTCCCTTTCGTTCTTTTTATTGATTCATTCAAGCTTTCTCTTACTTCAGGGTCGTGGGCCTATGACTGATTTTTCCTATGTGGGCCTACCAAACGGGTATGCAGAACTTTTCCGGCTGTATGATCCCATGGGAGGTGAACATTTCAACATATTTGCGGCAGGTCTGAAGACAGCTGACCGGGTGGTGACAGTGAGCCATGGATATGCCTGGGAGCTCAAAACTTCAGAAGGTGGATGGGGTTTGAACGGGTTAATAAGTGAAAATGATTGGAAACTGCAAGGGATAGTCAATGGCATAGATACTAAAGAGTGGAATCCCCAATTGGATGACCACTTGAAATCGGATGGCTATGTCAACTACTCCATAGACACACTACAGACTGGCAAAGCTCAATGCAAGGCCGCATTGCAGAAGGAACTAAATTTGCCCATAAGAAACGATGTTCCCCTGATAGGTTTTGTCGGGAGGCTTGATCACCAAAAAGGAGTCGATCTGATAGCCGAGGCGATTCCTTGGATGATGGGCCAAGATGTGCAGTTGGTCATGCTGGGAACAGGCAGGCCCGACCTAGAAGATATGCTCAAGCAGTTTGAGGGTCAATATGGCGGAGACAAGGTCAGAGGTTGGGTCGGTTTCTCAGTTAAGACTGCACACCGGATAACTGCTGGTGCTGACATTCTGTTGATGCCATCAAGGTTCGAGCCATGTGGACTTAACCAGCTGTATGCAATGAGCTATGGGACGATCCCCGTAGTCCATGCTGTGGGTGGACTTAGAGACACAGTGCAGCCTTTTGATCCATTCAATGAATCAGGGTATGGATGGACATTCCAAAGGGCCGAAGCTAGTCAGCTGATTGATGCTCTTGGGAACTGCTTGTTGACATACCGTCAGTATAAGCAGAGCTGGGAGGGGCTGCAGAGGCGTGGTATGATGCAAGATTTGAGCTGGGATCATGCTGCTGTTAAGTACGAGGAAGTTCTTGTTGCTGCCAAATATCACTGGTGATATCAGATTTGCTATCGCTGTCCAGTTTTATTCGTTGATGAAATAAGAGTATTCGTGCAATAGTGCTGGTGCGTGGCACTGCTTTGCTCTCCCTTGTGTCATTTTTTGATTTCCAAAATCCGAAATCAGGCATTCCAGGAGCCACTTCCATTGTGTATCTTGCAGTGAAACCAGCCCATCTCTAGCCTTTTACTGCTTTGTATTTTTCCTGAGATCTCACCAAGAAACCCTGCAGCATGTTTTGTTTACATAGGCTTCTTTAGATGTCTGAACTGAGATCAAATTTATCATCTGTTGTAGTATATATATTTAATAATGCAGTCCGAACCCGAAGTAGGTTTTTATCCTTATCGGAATAATTTTTTTGTATTCTGTCTCCATATTTACAGCTTCCAATAATCCTGATAGCTGTTTTGCCAGTAATTGTGTTTTTCTACAAATTTTTCTGCCATAATCTAGAAATAGCATGATTATATATATCAATTTTGGAATTGACAATTAGCTCAGTTTAAGAATATCTGAAATATTTCTTGCTGCTGGATTTTAAATATTTTGGTCTGGAGTTGAATTTACTGCTCACATATAACCGATTTTAATACGAGTATTTCCTGCAGAATGTCGAATTAATAACTGGGAATGGAGTTGAGTTAGCAAAAAGATTAAACTCTGAAAACAATCACCTTCAACATTGAATGAAACTGATTACAGGTCCATTAAGATGCACAATTTAAATCATAAATGAGTAAAGACTTCTCAAATAGATTGTGTCCAATACGAAAAAACAATGAAATTGTGTCTCATTTTTCTCTCTTGTTACTTAATTGTAGGTTGTTATGTATGTCAGGGTGGGCCAAATTCTCATTCCGGAGCCTTCCATGTAAATCACCCAAGACTAGAAATAATTACAGTACACAAATGGAAAATTTGACTGAACTTGATGAGTTGATGTCCCAATATAAACCCTTTGGTTGAGTTTATGGGCGAAGAAAACAATCACTAAATGATTGAGCCAAAGGCTAAAAGAATTCAAGCAATAGAATCAATATATTTTAAATAAGAGAATGTTTTCGCGTTCTTACAACGGCTCGACACCATCTGATTGGACCAGAACGCTCAATTCTTTTGTTGATTGTCTGATCCCTAATCATGGGGTTTAATTATCTCCATCATAATTTAAATTTAAATCAAGGAGTTAATCATGGTGTTGGGGTGTTTGGTTAAGAGGTTATGTGTTTGATAAAATAACTTTTCCATTTAGTTTTTTGAGTCAAAAAGCTAAAGTACAAAACGCTATCCCATTTTTCATAGACAAAAATATATCTATTTTTTTGTGAACGAGATTCACACATTTCTCAAAATACCAAAATACAAATCTTAGTTTTTAGGCAACGTGCGTTTACTTCATTTCCCATTTTTCCTATTCTACACACACCGGCCATTCCTAGGTAACGGGCATAGATCAAATTATTTCTTCCGTTCAAGATTTTGAGGATGCAGGACGCAAGGTGCGTCCTTAACTTTACTTGCCTTGCCATTATACGTACTATGATTATATAATGCAAAGAATTATTACTTGTGTAGTTGTGTTAGTGGATATTTAATGTATGATACATATACTCCCCCGTTCTCTAATAGTTGGGACACTTTCCATTTTTGGCTGTTCTTGAATAATTGTCCTCATTTCTATCTTTAATAAGTTTTTGTTGTGCAAATACATTTTTATCCCCACATATTTTACCCTCATTTACTTACCTTTAACCTACACCCATTTAATTCTCCACCTACTCCATTAATTACTCTTTACTTTCCACCTCTACCCATTTACTTCTCGATCGTATAACCTCCCCCTACCCATTTACCTCCCCCCCTACCCATTTAATTCTCCACCGCTAAACCTCTCATTCTACCACGGTTCGTCTTCCTCATCTTCAACCTCTTGTCATGCCTTCTTCCATTAATCTCTGATTTTTCGTTCCAGATGGAATATCAGATACCCGATTTTGTCGAACACTATATGTGTGTTCATGATACGCCGGAGCAGGTTAATCCTTACGCAGATGTGCCGGATACGCCAGACCAAGTGACTGATCCATACTTGCATGTGCCTGATACGCTTGACCATGACTTCGCAGACCTTCATACCCAGAGATTGGAAGAAATCCGCCTTGAAGCCGCCCGGAGAGGTTCAAAGGCGATGTTGAAACTAATACTTCCCCAAGTGAAGGTCGGATCTGCATCTCAGAAGGCGTTGGTGGAGACTAACGGAGACGTGGAGGGTGTTTAAGTGACGAGAATAAACATGCAGTGGCCGATAAGTCATCAATTCTCTGTATTTCTTTACTATTGTGTGGTAGTAAGGTTTTCTGATTTCATGAGAATTAACAATCTGTAATGTATTGTTTGTTTGTGTTGGTCTATGAATTTTTATGGTTTTCGACACTCCTTTGTGAAATAAATGACGATTTCTTTAGAGGTATTCTGAGATTGTGTTCATAGAGGTATTCTCACAGAAGTATTTTCTGTCATTAAACATACCTCTGTGATCTAAGATTGTGTTCATATGGCTGTGATGACACCTTTGAGATCTGATTTCCTGCTACCATATATGTGATGACATGTATTTCTGATCTGAGCTTGTGTGAGCATGTCTGTGATGCACTTGTTTCTTATGCCTGTGATGACATTACTTTGATCTGAAGTTATGTTGATATGGTTGTGATGACACTACTTTGATCTGAGATTTGGGTAACACAACTGTGATGACACATATGTGACATCTCAGATTGTGTGAGCATTTCTGTGATGACACTAAAAGTTTGTAATCTGAGCTATTGTGTTATTGTGTGTGATGAGACTTGCTTGTTACCTGACCTTGTGGTGATATGGCCGTGATGACCATACTTAGGTCTGAGATTTGGGTAACACATCTGTGATGACACATATGTGTCATCTCAGGTCGTGTGAGCATTTCTGTGATGACACATGTTTGTGATCTGAGCTTTTGTGATCTTGTATGTGATCACAGTTGTGTATTACCTGATCTTGTGTTGATATGGTTGTGATGGCACACCTTTGATGTCAGATTTGGCTAGCATAACTGTGATGACACATTTGTGACATCTCAGATTGTATGTTGATTTGGCTGTGATGGCACCTGTTTGTGATCTGAGCTTTTGTGATCTTGTTTGTGATTACACTTGTGTGTGATCTGAAGTTATGTTGATATGGCTGTGATGACACTACTTTGATATGAGATTTGGCTAGCACAACTGTGATGACACATATGTGTCATCTCAGATTGTGTGAGCAATTCTGTGATGACACTAAAAGTGACCTGAGCTTTGTTGATGTTGTATGTCAACACATTATGTGACCTGAGTTTTGTTGATGTTGTATGTGAACAGATTGTGTGAGCATTTGGCTGTGATGGCACTGGTTAGTCACCTGAGCTTGTGTGACAGTTGTTTGTTATTGAACCTTGTGTTGATATGGCTGTGATGACACAACTTAGGTCTGAGGTTTGGGTAGCACATCTGTGATGACACATATGTGTCATCTCAGATTGTGTGAGCATTTCTATGATGACACGTGTTTGTGGTCTGAGCTGTTGTGATCTTGTGTGTGATCACATTGTGTGAGAATTTTCTGTGATGACACATCTAATAATCTATTGTTGGGTCATGTCATCTGCTTTGTGTCCCATTTTATGATGATATTCAGTGCAATATCTGATAAAACAAGAAGGAAGTCAAATGATGAAAAAACTTATGCATTTCATTAGCTGAATTTGACAAAAGGCAAAGTTTACAATGCATTGTACATTAATTGATTTGGGCAAAAGTCAAAACTCAAAATTTTGTAGTTCCTGAACTACATCAGTTAAATAGCCTTGCACAACATAATACCCATTACATGCCTATACATACATATGCATCCTTCATACTGCAACTTTAAAACCTGGTTACCTGGTGTTCAGCCACTGTCATCCTGCATAGCATCATTTAAATAAGCAACAGTTTTTGCAATCAATTCATTATCAACTACCAGAGCACTTGGTAGAAGCCCCCCCCCCCCCCCCCCTTCCAAATTAGCTTTTCCCATGTGAGGGCTTTTGAAGGTGTTGCCTCCTTTGCATTTCAAAATCTCAACCATTACAGATTGTAATTGAACCCAATTGTGATTTACCTTATGTGGTCCAAACTCTGCATATGCATCTTTGACTGCCACTACCAATTCTTGAACTGTAGTTGGACATTTCTGGTGTTGAATTGCTTGCACAGCCCTAAAGAAACCCAAATCTAAGATATTTAGATCAGGGGAATTTGATGGATGACAAACCAATTGTATATCCCACCCATCTGTTGAACCTTCATCTTTAAATGCTGCATCATTGATATTAATGTGAGGTCTTGCATTGTCTTGTTGTATCCATATAGTTTTACATGCATTAGCTGGCCATTTTTGTTTGATTGATGGAATCAATTCTGTGAGAAATGCATTTCTCATGACTTCCTTCGTAATAGATGCGGTTGCCTTTAGTTCCAAACAACCCGCAGTTCTGTTTTTGTTGTTTCTAATTGCTGCCACATTTTCTGTGAAAGGGAAAATTCCTATTTTCCCATCCCATTGTATTGATCCATCCGGATTGATCCACGGTCTAGCAATGGCTGCCAAAAACATAACCTTGTTGATAAACCTTTTACTTTGACAGCTTCTGTGAGGTTCTTCCTCTGAGGGAAAAAGATAATAGCGTTGTAATTTGGCTCATAAAGAACCATTTTTCATCCACATGTATGACATTGAACATGTTTGAAAACTGTGGGGGTTCATCCACTGTTCTAGGAATAATGTGACACATAGACCACTTCAATCTTTCCAGATTGTTTTTGTCGGATAAAGCAGGTTTGATTGCATTGGTGTGTGACCTTATGGTACCATCACTCAGTAAATTATGCACTTTTGAAACACTTAAGTTAAGACAAGCTGTCAAGCTTCTCAAAGTGGTTCTTTTGCTCTTTGTAATGGCACGTATAGCTTCTATATCAATTGGTACACTTTTCTTCCCACACTTTCCAGTCCTCTTGTGGTCAGTATTAAGTGGCAAACCTTGTTGAACTTGCAGTTTAGTTGTTGCCCAAATTCTGCCTATAGTCTTGGAAGAAACATTGTGACTATTGGCTACCTCTTTAAGTACTCCTCTTTTACAACTCAAAACCTTTGTCAATGAACATGCACTTGATTTAGCTAACAATTCTTCTGCTATTGACTTTCTTTGTGGATTTGTGAGTAACACATACTTCTTCGCAGGTACGAAACCATTTGAGTTGGGTGTAGGGTCAACAGCTTCTGAATCCATTTCACCAGCTCCTTGTTCAGAGATATTATGCTCAATCAACATCATTTCTTCTGGAGCAATGAAATAAGCAGAGTCTTGAAAAGGTGGTGTGGTCATCTCTTCAACAACACGTGCAAAAGAAGGTTGAAAAATAAAGCTGGAGAAGGCTGTAAAATAAAGCTGGAGAAGAAGGCTAACAAAAGAAACCCTAAAGGGGAAACTAGAAAAGTAACGTGTTGAGAGAAGAAGACTGAAAAGAGATGCCCATATATAGCAAGTTTTTTTTGAAGGGAAATGTTAATTTTTTATAAACTGGGCGGCAACTTGGCATTGTTGTATGTATTACTGCCGCAATGCCTTTTGATATGGAGTACCATATCAATATTTCTCTTTCCTCCTTTAGTCTTTCTCTTGTCTCTTTCCTCTTTTATTCATTTCTCTTTCCTTCTCTCATCCACAAACTTAATTACCTTTAATAATTTATTCTCTTTCCTACTTTTTCATTTTAACACAATCCACTACACTTTTAAACTTACCCCTACTATTTCCTTCTTAATATTTGTGTCAAAGCCTATAGTCCCAACTATTAGAGAAGGGAGGGAGTATAAAATAAGTAGAATAAGTAGCAAATATGTTGTTCTTAGGATGTTTTTACTTGGTCTGTAATTTGTTGGTCTGGTCTGGTCTAGTCTGATCTGGTCTGGTCTGAACTGGTCTGGTAAGGTCTGGTTTCTTTGTATTTTTATAACTATCCAAGTCTGGTCTGGTCTGAACTGGTCTGGTCTGGTCTGGTCTGGTCTGGTCTGGGGCAAATTACAGTCCAAGTAAAAACATCCTTAGAAGTCATGTAATAAGTCATCAGCTCGTTATAAATACGGAGTAGCTATTAATCAAACATTATTTTCTAAACTGCTAACACTATCGTTTAAAAAAAATAGTCAATTGAATCCAGTATTATCAATTACTTAACATCAATTACTTAACATAATCAACCAAATTAAAGTCAATTGCCAAACACTTCCCATTTAATTGAATATCAAATATCATTAAATATTTATTGAATTGTACCTTGACTACCATATATCTTCAAAATCAGTGACATTGTTTGAGTTATCAAAACAGTTTTTTCGAAACACAATATAATAAAATACGCGGATTATTAAACTTTGCTGATGAACACACACATAGGAAAGTAAAAACTTATTGCCTCAATAAAACAAATCGTTGCAATAAAATCATCATTAAGGTATATCATGGAACCACAAGTCCCCAAGTATCAATGAAATGATGAAGATGCAATTAAGATGTTTTAATTGGATTGATTGTCGGACTTCATTTGTTGTTAAATACACATAAAACAAACATCTATCGATTCAGACTTACACATAAAACAAACATCTATCGATTCAGACTTGACTTAAACTTAAACATACGAAATCTAATCGGAGAATTTTAGTCCAATTAAAAACATTTTGAACACATAATCACTACACATTTACCACAAAATTACCAAACAATACCCAAATCAAAATTACGCAAAACGAGTTAATACACTTCAATAGGAAAGAGGTAATCATATATGCACTGAACAACACACACTTAAACTGAGTGGACGCATTTATACCCTCTCCTAGTTTTTAAATACTTCTGTCAAAATCAATGTCCCAATTCCTGTTTTCTGTAGTGAAAGAGAACATTTTCGCCATTGATTATGGTTCCCTATCACACACGTACGTACTACAAATTGGGCACGCATAAATTCACCAAATAAACGGATATGCATAGAAGTATGAAACTTCATGGATACACCATAGAAGCAGCTGGCCAGATGCTTCCTCCAATAGGTAAAGAGCATAGAAAACAAGGGAACCTTCCTTTCATCTTCTTCTTCTCTGAAGCCACAGAATAGTATTCCCATTTCTGATTTCCCACTCAAAAAATCTTCACTTTCCTCTCCACCTTCGTCTTTATTCTCCAATCACACCACCCAATTTCTCTATATAATGAAATCCTCTCCTTTTCTCGGATACCCAATTCAACAACACATCTAATTATTGGTATATCTATCATATCTGTTTCTCCGGCCGGCAAAACCAGAACTTCAAGAATCATCAGAGATGGATTCGGGCTATCTGAACCGGGCAATTTCAATCCAAAAGACAAAGTTACGACCTTTTGCTTCTGCTCCGCTTCTCATGCCCATCAATGGGTTCATAGGCCCGGTCATCGTTCTGTACATAATAATCTTTGAGTGGGTCAGAAATACCATCAGCAGCTTACTATTAACTTTATCTCCGCCGGCAGACTCAAAACCGGCGGAATCTCCGGCGTATCCGAAGGTCATGGCCGCAGAAGAAGTGGAGACAGTACTGGAAAGACTTGGGCTTTTTCTCCGCCCTGCTGAAAGCGAGAAACTTCAGGAGAGGATTTGCTCAAAAGAGTTTTCTGAGATTCTTGGTGGGGAGGCGGCGGAGGAGGAGGAAGGAGAGGGGTTTTATGTGGATGATGAAGAGGTGCAGGCTGCATTTGATGTTTTTGACGAAAACAGAGATGGGTTTATCGATGAGAAGGAGTTGCAGAGAGTTCTGTGTGCGCTGGGCATGGATGCGATCAAAGAAATGTATGAACAAGAAGGTTTGGAGTTGGAGAATTGCAGGAGAATGATCAGGAAGTTCGATGAAAATGGAGATGGGAGGATCGATTTAAACGAATTCTCTAAGCTCATTTTTAATTAATTAGATCATGGGGCTGAGCAGCTAGCTTCTCATGTCGTTATCATTCTTATACAGTATATGCTAGGAAACTAGGAACTTAGGAAGTGTTCTTGATTTCTTTCTCAGCTTCTAATCTATTACGGGTATAACAATATTTTAGCACATCTGGATTTGGTTTTTACCTTTCAACATATTTTTATATCATTTCTAGATATGTGACTTTGTAATCATTAATAGCAATTTATATCAAAAAGTTATATTAGTGATGATGGATAATCATTTTCAACTTAATTACATCTTTATCAATAACTTTTATTTGAATAATATTTTAAGAAAAATCTTTAAAGCGGTTTTGCTCGACAAGAGTGCTAAATTTCTCATTAAATAGAAACAATTACTTTCATTTAATATTATCAAAATCAAATTATCTAAACTAAACTGAGCAAATTGAGAATTGAAAATTTTGGACCCAAAAAACTCTACTTTCATTAAAACTCTATGTCATAAACCTGGACCTAAAATGTCTTAGATAACAGAAAAAAGAGTAATACTCTATCATCAAAATTTATCATCACAATCAACTTTTGAGTAAACAACCAATGAACATCATTGAGAATCATATTCATGTCAAGTACATGATAGAAATGACAAAATGATGTTGTGATCCCAAATCAATGATGGAAATACGTCTAGAGGGTTTAGAGACTGCTGTCATGATACCCCTGAAAAGAGAAACATATCGAACATTCTGACATGATTGCGTTCACAATGGATAAATTCACGACATTCACCACCACCGATTGAATAGAAATTACCGTTATCACCCCCCCCTTCTTTCTCCATTGATAAAAGATCATAAGCCTGCTCCAAAGCTACCATCGAAGACCCCTACTATCATGCACACTTTTGCCTTTTTGAAGTCATCATCAAACTCGATTTGCTCGTGACTTCCTTTAATTTGATCGAAGTGGCCAAAGAGATGCCAACACTCATAATTATAGGACTCAGCTAGCTCTGTCGCAATATTGAGTTTATTGTGTTTTAAGACAATTGGAATCACATCTAAGAATACAAAAGTGACTTGAGTACGTGACCAATGTGAGCTTACAAAGGGACTTTTCATGTAGTTGATATGGTTGTTGTTGACTTGTTGAAGTTCTTTAAGACTCTTATTATGTACTTGTGGAGTTGCAAAGTAATAGAAGTTCTGCATCCCCAACCCAAAATTTGACAAGCTAGTGAGACTACCCATATGGAACATACTTAAGTTTATTGGGTTTTCTTTAGAAATTTGGGTGTGAAAATTGGATTGGGATCCTCTACCCGACTAGGAGGGTGTCTTGCGCATCGAGATCGGCGAAAAAGTGGAGCCCAAGATCTTCGACCGTTGAATTGTCGATCGGACGACCGGGAGGAAGCAAGGCACTCTACCTTACTCTAAAGTAAGGTAGAGGCTCCGGATCCGTGAAAATTAGTATTGTTGTTGAAAATTTGAAATTGTTAACCAATGAATAGCGATTAGTTATTGAGGAACTAGGATTAATAGGTCAAAGTTGACATATCTGGCGATAACAAAAAAGATAATAGAAGGCCTTAAGAGACCTTTATAGTACTATCCTAGTAGTCTAGTACCATCCCGTCCCATAATATAAGTTACATGCGAGTTTGGCTTGTTTTTTTGGAAAATAAAACTTAAAATGATTGTTATGCAAATTCAACCTCCAAAATATAAGAAAAGGTAAAATAGTCCATAAAAAGTAAAAGGTGAATTAAATAGATAACTAGATAAAAGTGAAAATGCTTAGGGTCTGTTTATTAACAGAGAAATTTTCCAGTTTTCCAGAAAACTGAAAAACGAAAAATAGAAAACATGTTTAACAAAGAAAATTGCTCGAAAAACGCAAGATGATGGAGTGAAAGTCTACAAGAATACAGGCCGGCAGTAGCTCAGTGAAAGAGAACCTGGTCAAATGCCCGTGACCAATACTTGGTCCAAAACATTAGTACTTTAGTAGTCCAATATAGTATCAAAAAATACCCAATATAGTTACTCCCCTCCGTCCCTAAATAAACTTCCAACTTTCCTTTTTCGTCCGTCCCAATAAAAACTTTCACTTTCCCTTTTTTGTAAAGAATTTGTGGTTCACAACATTTCACACACATTTCTCTATCCTATGCACAACTCTCCACCACACAATACCCACTATCTTAAACTGTGTGCCCAACCTATTTGAAAGTTTTATTAGGGACGGAGGGAGTATATAGTATCAAGAAAGGAATCAGTGCCCAATTGTATCTAAAAATACCCAGTCCAAATTCAAGGATCAAAATTACTCCTCTAGTCCACTTGTCTAGGCTAGGGGTGTAAATCAAGCCGTTCGCAAGCTGCTCGTGGACCGCTCAGGAAAAGCTCGGCTCGAGTTCGGCTCAGCTCAAATACTCCCTCCGTCCCAATATAAAAGACACATTTGCGTTTCCACACATTTTTAGGGTGAACACTGTTTGAACACTGTTTGGCACTGTTAAGACACTGTTTGGTACTGTTAGGACACTGTTTGGCACTGTTTTGTTTACAAAAAGGGAAATGTGTCTTTTATATTGGGACGGTTCGAAAAGGAAAATGTGCCTTTTATATTGGGACGGAGGAAGTATTTAACAAGCTTTCATTTTGAAGCCCTGTTTATTTTAGGGGGGGTTTCAACAAATAAGACTTAAACATATCTCATTTCCAAAATTAGGAGTAGAAGCTTGCGTAGGACCTAAGTGGGCATGTTTTGACTCTTATACCCCTAACTTAAAATCAACTTAAGAAAAATTGCAGCGACAATATTTCAAGCTCCTCCAGTCAAATTCAGATTCGCTGTCTTCGAAAGCATACTTGGAGCCGCAGAAGCGTTTTTCCAGACCGATGAAGCTTCCCCACGGGTAGTCAAGCTCTTGCACGTCCGACAACATAGAGCAAAAGTCTTTCCTAAAACATCCCTTGGTTGATCCGAGCCTGTATGGGCTGGTGGTAGGCGGCGGCGTAGCGGGTTGAACTCCCTTGCCAAATCGACTTCACCAGATCCATCGATTTTAAATTCAAGCTGCTCTGGTTGACTTCATCGGACGCCATCGCCAGAGGTTTCTTCCTCTTCTTCCTCCTCTTCTTCTTCCTCCTCCTCCTCCTCCTCCTCCTCCTCCTCCTCCTCCTCCTCCTCCTTCTTCTTCTTTTCTAATTTTAGACATTGATTCTGCCAATTTCGAACTTTTATTTCATTGTTTCACAAAGTCACCGGGTACTCTGCAAAACTATTATAGAAATCAGATCCAAAATCAAATTTGCAAACACTAGACAATACATAGAAAATAAGTAGTCAGTAAACAGATAATAAGTTCTAACAATAGCTCCATAGCAGACAATACATAGACAATAAGTAGTCATTCAATAGACAATAAGTAATTCTTTAATTTAGAATTTGGAAAGTTAAAAACAAAAGGAAGAAAACAGGGCACAAGGAGATAAGACGTAAGAGGAGAAGAAGAAAAATGAAGAAGAGAAGAATAATGTGTTTTTCATCCCAGATCCCGATCTTGACCTAGTCAACACATTATTTCTCAACCTAAAAAACGAGAAGTAATACGGTTTGATCTTGTTTAATTACTCGATCTATCTAGTTTAATTACTCAAGAATCATAATTTTGCAATCACGAATTCTGATGAAGTTGGACAGGAATTTGGCAGAGAACAACAACTCCAATCCCAAATTGATTCTGAGTTGGAATGGATGCAAATTGAGTTCGAGTTTTTGATGCAACGTCAACGAAGTCCAAAGCGAAGCTTGAAGAGGGAGCGAGAGTGGAATTCGTTAGCGAGCTTGAAGACGAAGTCCAGGGCGGCTAATTTGTAAGCATTACCAATAGAAGAGATATAAACACCTAGGGGTATTTTAGGAAAAGTGATTTTAAGTTTCTTAAATTAGGAGTATATTTGTCTTAGGGCTCGTTTGTTACGGTGTAAAGTAAACACTTTACGTGTAAAGTGGAGGGAAGTAAACATTTTACACCGTTTGTTTTAATTATTTGATGTAAACAGTAGGTCACTTTTTTTAAAACACTTTACACTGTACCATGTAAAATAGTTTACGTGGGGGGAGGGTAGTAAACTAGTTTACATTCATTAATTAATACCGAGTATTATCATATTTAACGATTTAATACGGAGTAAACTTCTACGATCTAGACTTACGCTATAAAATAGGAGAGTGGCGGCAAAACCAAAAAACTCTGGCGGCAATAAATCAATTTCATCTCCTATATAAACACACAAAATCGGAAACCATATCTCAGCATATCTCCTTGATTGCGTTGCCCTGCTCTCCGTATTGCAAGAGGTACGCTTCTGCTTCTTTTTTGTAGTTAATTGACATGTTTATTTGATATGTTTTTGTGTGCCTAGAAATTGAATTTGTGGAATTTATTTTTGAAAGAGATTATCAAGGCCAAAATATAGGACAAGGAAAGGGGATTTGGCCACAAATGTACTTGGAGTTTGTTCTCGGGATTTACATTTTATCTACATATTGCCTGGGTGGGAAGGTTCTGCTGCGGATGCAAGGGTATTAAGAAGTGCGATTTCAAGGCCAAATGGATTTGTAGTTCCTCAAGGTACTAATGGTAGTGGGAGAATCAATAGGGCTTTCAATATTATATAGTTTAAAATTCACATAAATTTTGACTCATAAGTTCTAACCATAACATATTAATCTAGGTTGTTACTATCTATGTGATGCCGGATACAGCAACGCAGAGGGTTTTTTAGCTCCTTATAGAGGTCAACGCTGTCATATAAAAGAATGGAGCCAACGAAATTATCCTAGAACAAAAGAATAAATGTTCAATTACAAGCATTCATGTGCACGTAATGTCATTGAGAGATCGTTTGGGCTATTGAAAATGAGATGGGCAATTCTTCGTAGTAGATCTTGGTACCCTGTCAAGACATATTGTAGAGTTATAACCGCTTGTGCTTTACTTCACAATCATATAAGAAGGGAGATGCGAAAGGATCCACTTGAGGATAAGGTGCCAGAGGATCATGTTGATTCTGACCCATTTATGAATGCCCCAAGCATACAAGATATTGAGCAATCTGCAGCTTGGACTGCATTTAGGGATAACTTCGCACAAGAAATATGGAATGAGCGCCGGATTAATAGGAATTAAGATTCATATTACTAGTTTTATGTGTTTTTATTTGTTAACTTTCATTTGATTAAAATACTCTGTTATTAGTTATTTACTCATAATATAATACTACTGAAAGTTTCGTCTTTTTTCCGGATGTATTTTGTCTATTCTTACTGTTCGCAATTGTTCTATCATTGCGAGTTCAAAAGTGAAACATAATAATCATCAGTGGTCTCCTCATGAAGACAAGATACTCATTGAGGGTTGTCTCGAACTGATCAACCAAGGTTGGAAAGCTGAAAATGGATTCAAAACGGGTTTTTATCAACAGTTGCAGAAGTGGATGGCTGCAAAAATCCCTGGTTGTCATATTTTGGGAGATCCAAATATTAAAAATAGGTTAAGGACTTTAAAAACACAATATAAGGAATTTTCTATGATGAGGGGTGCTTCAGGTTTTGGCTGGAATGAGGAAACCAAAATGGTGAGTTGTGATAATGAAGTTTGGGCTTCATGGATTAAGGTATTTTGCGTGTAGTCAAAATATTGTATGTTTTAAATATGCTTATATATATGATTTGTGACTTTTTTTTAATCGGTAATGTCATTGTAGGGCCATAGAGACTCGGTTCATCTTAGATACAAGTCATTCCCTTATTTTGATGAGCTAGCGATAATATTTGGTGTTGAATGGGCAACTGGGGATAAGTGTGAAACTCCAGCTGAAATGGTGACTAGTTTAGGAAAGGAAAATGCACCTCATGAAGGAGCTCATGTGCCAAAAAGTGTTATTCAGGATGATTTTTTTGGTGTATCTGTGGATCTTGATACTACGAATGATGAAATTTTTTCACCACCTGATATCAACAAAACCAAGAAGCGCAGCCTTGGTATTTCAATCAAGGAAGAATTTGAGGCGTCATCAAAAAAACCAAAGAAGAATGCGTTTGATAAACATGCTGAAGTGTTCCAAAAAAAATAGAAACAATTTTGGAAATGTGTGCTACGTCAAACAAGCAGTTTGAGAAAGTGACAACATTTTTCGATCGTTTTAATGCTGCTGATGATGTTAAGCCACATATATTGCAGATGATAATGAATCTGCCAGATTTAAGCAAGGAGCAGGCGATTCGTGCATTTGGAGTTATATCATCTAGCAAAGGCAAAACAGATTCATTTTTACTCATGCCAGATGAAGAGGCGAAGTTGATTTATGTTAGAGCTGTCTTGAATGGAGAAATCTAATTAGTACCACTTTAGTTATTTTTTAAGAATTTTTTATGATATTTCATTACGTAGAATAGTGAATTAGTAGCATTTTAGTTATTTCCTAAGATTTTTTATGATATTTCATTACGTAGAATAGTGAAGTAGTAGCATTTTAGTTATTTCTAAGAATTTTTTAGTGAATTGTCATTGAATTTATATATATCCAATAAGTATGAATACCAGGTTGCACGTTGATTTTTGTAGTTGATAGTTCATAAGACTACACTCCTGGAGATTGCACGTCGTTCTGGTATAGAACTCCACAGACAGTTTATTCTATCAAAGTTAACACGTTTGATACTACGTATGTTTTACGTGTGAAGTTATTTCCAAACAAACAATGCAAATAGTTTGCATGTAATTTAAAAACAGATTGCACACGTAATCAAATGATGTATTTCTATTTTACATGCAAACTAATCACAGCCCTAAACTTTACATGCAATCATTTTGCGTGTAAAGTTTTAATGTGCAAAGAACCAAACGCCCCCTTAAGTTGATCTTATTTTAATGGGATAAGGGTCAGATAGGGCCTCAAACTTGAAAAAAAATGTCAAATAAGGCCATATTTAGGATGCTCTGTCCGGCCGACGCCATTTGGGGTGGTTCCCGGTGGAATTTTTTGATGAAATTTTTTGAGAATCCTATTCATTAAGTCTAGTTTACTCATATCAAATTTGAACTAACAATTCAATCGGAAAGGCATTCAAATGAATTCATGAAGATAACTGCGTTTTTAACGATACAGTTATCTTCAAGAATTCATTTGAATGTCTTCCCGATTAAAGTTTTAGTTCAAATTTGATATGAGTAAACTAGACTTAATGAATAAGATTCTCAAAAAATTTCATCAAAAAATTCTACCGGGAACCACCCCAAATGGCGTCGGACGGACAGAACATCCTAAATATGGTCTTATTTGACATTTTTTTTCAAGTTCGAGACCTTATCTGACCTTTATCTCTATTTTAATCAAAAGCCTATGAATTGGTCCCACTGTCCCACTCCGGTGTCTGCTTAGTGCTAACGACTCTACGAGAGGGAATGCGGACGGGTGTTACTCCTCCACACTAGTAGCTTTTTCATTGCAGTCGAATGCTTCAACTTCTATTCAATCTTCAACAATCAAGAAAGCAGCACATCAAGAGGGTTCATTTCCTTCTTCCCCATTTCAGTCATTTCCTACCATATAATTGTCCGTTGTCCTCCTTTACAGTCCACGCTTCGCAGCAATCTTGTGCATCAGCTGCGAAACCAACCATCAATGAAGCAACTGCGATTAACTTTCATGGAATTGCAAAACATGTGATATCAATATGTTCACCTCTCCGTGACAGAAGCAAAGGAGAAACCTCAGTCAACTCTTATCTCAAAGAGTGCCTCCTTTCGCTTTCTTGTATTTCCCCAGAAACTGTTCGCAAATTCTGGAGGGTTCCTGAGTTAAAACCTCAAGATGTTCTTCAAATTTTGCTGGGTTTTCAATGTGGTGGAGATAATTTTCAGCTTGAGGCTAAAAAGGTTGAATCTTTGTGGGGGATATTTAGGCGGGCTGGGGAGCAGAGTAAGGGTTTTGGGCATCTTCCTCAATCTTACAAGATCATGGCCTCATTGCTTGTCCGGGTTCAGCTGTTTGAGGAGGTTGAATGCTTGCTTTCGGTGGCTGGAACTAGGGGAATTCTCTTGGATGATCATGAAATTTTCAGTAATTTGATTCAAGGGTATGTGGGTGAGCTCCAATTAAAGAAGGCTGTTTCAAATTATGATAGAATGAGAATTCTAGGTTTATCCCCATCCTCTCTCTGCTATCAACACCTTCTCGAGTTCTTGGTTCAATTAAATGTGACACATTTGGCGCCTCAAATTTTTGCTGATGCTATAGAGCTCGGTCTGGGAAAGATAGTAGCAGAAGGGTCTATTTATGGGGGAGTTGTTCGGATGTTGTGTCTAGAAGGAAAAGTTCAGGATGCTAGAATTCTTGTTAAGAAAGTTCTAGCTCTTGGATTTAAGCCCACTGATATAGTTCTCAGTTCAATGGTCAATGCATACTGTGAGAAGAAGGATTATGATGATATACTTAGTTTCTTTGTTGAAGCAAGATGCATCCCCGATTTACATGTTGGCAACAAGATCATGCATTCTTTGTGTACATGTTATGGTTCAGATTTTGCCAATTCGTTCCGCCTGAAGCTCGAAGGACTAGGTTTTTGTTCCAATGAAATAACCTTTGGGATTTTGATTGGTTGGAGTTGCCGTGAAGGTAAAATGAAGGATGCCTTCATTTATTTTTCTGAGATTCTGTCAAGAAATCTGAAACCTCAAATATATTCATATGACGCTCTTTTGAGTGGGTTTTTCAAGAAGGGTATGTGGAAGCACTCTCAAGAAATTATCTATGAAATGAAGGATCGGGCAGAAGTGCTCCATATGTCAACTTTCTTGGTTCTCTTAGCAGGATACTGTAAAGCTAGACTCTTTCATGAAGTCAAAGCAACAGTTTCCCAGATGGCAGACTGTGGTTTCATCCAACCAATATCTCTAGAAGACCCACTTAGCAAAGCTTTTACACTGCTGGGACTTGCTCCTTCTGATGTGAAGATAAGAAGAGACAGTGGGTTTGGATATTCTAAGGCAGAATTTTTCGATAACCTTGGGAATGGACTTTTTCTGGATACAGATATCGGAAAGTATGAGACTACTATGACTGAAGTACTTGATAATGCCATGCTTCCAGATTTCAAGTCCCAAATATTGAAGAGTATTGGGAGCAATAAAGACATTAAAGAAGCTATTTTAACCGTATACCATATGGGTAAGTGGGGTCAAATGGTGTCCCTGCCTTTGTTCACAACATTAGTCAAAGGGATTTGTGAATGCCGTGGCAGTATGAAAACAGTTGTCCATTGGTCAGAGGAAAACCCTATCTTTAACTATCATCAGCTTGATCATGAAACGTTAAATACACTTGCTCAAGCTTTTGGTAAAAAAGGCTTCATGCGCAGGGCTCGAATAATTGTTAAGGGATTGATGATGAGGCATCAAAGTGTTGAGAATAAAACACATACTGTCCTGTTAATTGGGCTATGCAAGAAAGGCGACCGGCGAGCTCTAGCTAACTACTGGCAGCTTGCACAAAGATATAACTGGTATCCTGGTTTGAAGGATGGCAAAACTCTTCTCAGCTGCCTATGCCGACAAGGATTTCTTGACAAGGCTCTAGAGCTATTTGAGGTCATGTTAGTGCACTACCCTCACAAGGAAGACTTTGGTAATTCTTTTAATGAGTATTTTGAGCAGCTTTGTGCCTGTGGGTTTACAAACTCTGCACGTGTTTTAGTCGAGACACTTGTAAACCGTGGCTACAACCCTGATGACATGTCTTATGGCCATCTTATCAGTGTCCTCTGTAAAGAGAAGAAATTTTCTGAAGCTTTTTTGATATCTGAAACTATGCTTGCTAAGAATTTCACTCTGCCCTTGGATGTATGTAATGTTTTAATTCCATGGCTATGCAGGACTGGTAAAATCGAGAAAGCTGTCTTTTTGAAAGATAGTGTCTCAAGAAAACAACCTTCTGCTTTGTTTTATCTGCACTGTGCTCTATTGCATGGTTTTTGCCAGTCTGGGATGGTAGATGAAGCATCAAACCTCTACCAAGAGATACATAGACATAGGCTGTCCTTTGACATGGAAGCCTATAATCCTCTAGTTCAGGGGTACTCTAAAGCTAAAAACTTCAAGAAAATCGGAGAGCTGTTTGGTGTCATGATCCGTAAAAACTTGGATCTTACACTTGCAAGCTATCGAAGTTTAATGAGCCTTATGTTTGCAGAAGGCAAGCTCTGTCTTGCACTGAGCTTGAAAATGGTTATGATCAAGCAAAACAACCTCCCACACTCAGTGATATATAGTATACTGATTTTTCACCTGTTTTCAGTGAAAAAAACTTCAGTTGTGAATACACTTGTGCATGAAATGCAACCCCTTGAAGAAGTGACTTACAATTTTCTCATTCAGGGATTCTCCATGTGTAATGATGCAAAATGTTCATTTCAATATCTGAAAGACATGATGCAAAAAGATCTGAAGCCAAATAATCGCAGTCTTAGAGAGGTTATAAAATGCCTTAGCTGCAATGGGGAGCTAGAAAAAGCTCTTGACTTGAGCAAGGAAATGGAATTGAGAGGTTGGGCTCTTGGTTCACTTACTCAGTATGCTATGATTGAAGGCCTTCTTACGAATGGCAACTTCAGTGAAGCCATAGAGTTGTTGGACCGTATAGCACAAAAAGACTTAATCCCATCCAACATAAACTATGATGTTCTTATTAAGCGGTTTTGTCAGCATGCAGAAGTATACAAAGCAGTAGATCTTCTGAACATAATGTTAAGGAAAGGGAATGACCCAGACACTGCCAGTTTTGATTATGTTATTCAGAGTTTCTGTTCTTGTAACATTTTGGATCAAGCTCTGGACTTTCATGCTGAGATGTTATGCAGGAACCTAATACCAAACAGCAACACTTGGAACAAACTTACCCATAGCTTATGCAATGGAGGACGAGTTGCGGAGGCAGAAATGTTAATCCATTCCATAGTTCAGATTAGCGAGACCCCAAGCAGGGAAATGTATTGTGCGGTAGTTAATGCGTACCGGTTTGGGAACAATTTTATCAAAGCATCCCAGGTCTTACACAAAATGCAACAAAATGGGTATGAGCCTGACTTTGACACTCACTGGGCTCTAATAAGCAATTTGAGCAATTCCCGTAATGAAAATACTGGTCAAAGCAAATCTGGAGGATTTTTATCAAGATTTCTTTCTGAAGTTGGTTTTTCTCGGGAGATTCCAAATGCCAAGAAGGGGTGACATAGTGTATGTTTTTTGCACTTAAACTTTTGGAATTTGTAATTTTTTCTTTTCAATGTGCCATACTGCATTGTTTAGTAGAAACTGGATTAATTCAATATGGTGATTAACAAGTTTTGTATTTCATAGAGATTGGTAGGCCATTGAAATGGCACAATTCCTCATATCTTCTAATATATAAAGAGCGAATGGCTTTGAGCATGGCCTTTTTGCCGTTAAAATAACCCTCCATTTGCTCTCTCCCGTTTGCTGATGAGCTGCTCAATTTCTGGGGAATTCTTGAACTTTTAAATTTCTAGGGAAGGACAAATATGGAGGGAAAGTGGAGGTTTTGGGTAGGGGTTACTATTATTTTCATTGTCAAATTTGGAATTCTTGGACTTTCAAATGAGCTAAAAAAATATTTGGTAAAAACCCACCCACCAAATCATTCCCTGACAATCTACGATTGTATTGTAAAGCACATTATGGTGTTCAACTGTTCATATGCTATATGTTTGGGTTTCCTTTCATATCTGATTTTTGTGTTGATTTGAGATAATAGATAACTTTAATTTTTTAGCTCAGCTAATCTTGAATCTTAAATATATGCCTGGTTTTGTTAAAAAATTCTTTCCTTTCAGGTATGTTTGAAATTCATTATCATGTCTTACTTTGAGTTCTAGCTTTTATTTTCTAGAAAAGAGAAGCTTGAACTGACTTGGGAAGAGGGAAACAGAATGGTTGAGAGTTGAGACCCTTGATACCCCCAATGTCACATACCTTTGTATGGCTGGATGCAATGGCGTATCCAGGAAATTTGGCGAGTGGGGGCAAGCATGCACTACAATTTAGTCTCATATTTTACAAATAGCAAATGCCATTATTAATATTGTTTGATTAAATTTAGTTTAAGATATATATGTACAAGTATGTATGAATAAAAAGAAGATTAATTTATATTACGTGTGTAAAGATGTAATTACAGATGAAGTTTGAGAAAATTATCTAAATATAAGTTAAACATAACAAAATTTAGTGATTTTTTTAGTCTTTCTTTCTTTTAATATGAAAGAAAACGTTCTTAGTCCTATTTTAGATTTTTTTCTACATTTAACTCTTATTTTGAGCAATTTCTTATAAACTTTTAGATATATATAGGGGTTGGGTTGGGGTTGAGTGGGGGCAGCCGCCCCCGCTGCCCCCATAGTGGATACGCCACTGGCTGGATGCCTTGGATGGGAAACATAATAGAGGAGAATGTGCTGTGGTGGGTGTTTGCATGATTGGTGGTAGGTACAGTGCTCATTTCTCGAAAATGTAATATATTAAAGCTTTCAGACATGCAGGGACTGTTTAGGTGTCAAAGTGACCAGTGGAGTAACGCACTTTTAACATTATGGATGGAAAGGGGTAAGCAATTGGATGAAAATGTGTTTAAAGCATTTTTTTTAGTTGGATGGCAATTTCTGCCATTGCACTGTTTCTCATTCCTGTTTTTGTTTTACTTTTGGGAGATAACTTTGACATTGTTTTTTATCTGCATTGAAATTGTACTCCAGGATAAATGTTTTGTAGTGTTTAGAGAGTTCTACCAAACAAAAACAAAGCACATGAAGCTTATATAGATATACTCACTGGGTTGTAACATATGCAGACACTTTGAGCAGAAAACCATAGTGTTGATTGTGACTAATTTCCAGGTTCTTAAAGAGTGCATACTTTCATAAATTTATTTAACCTTTATGAATGCAAATTATCAGGAGTCCATAAACAATTAATATTAGTGAGCTGAATATACCATATCAGTTGGGAGGTATTTTGTTTCACATTACAGGTATAGGTGTATATATTATGATCAAAGAATTGGGAATTTATGGTAAGTCATTATGTGAGCCTAATAAAATAAGTCAATGTATGATGCTTTGGGTTTGATATGGACGATTTTAGTATGGGAAAGTGTTTTTAGTCCATGTTCCTTTTTTATTCAAGTAAAAAAACTTCTCAAATTTGAATCACTCCATTTTTACTCAATTTTCTAGCGGAGTGATCACTAAAGCTTGATCACTAACTGCAGTTTGATAGACTATATAATCTGCCATTGATTGTATCTTTCCTTTCACTATTACACTTCTAAAGTGATAGATTGATAAAATTTCCTTAGATGTCTGCTTGAAGATACCTTCAGATGACTTTCGATGAGATTCAATTCCAGAACTAACTAGAAAACTAACCAAAATACATGTATGGCAACCTAATATTGATAAGTATAAATAAGTCATCCGATCACATATCACCTGTTCTGACATGTATATATGCGATGAATTTCGAGGAGTGGATGTAATTTTCAATATGTTTTTTTTATGTTTAAACCAAATATAGAGATAACTCCTTGAAAGATATGATGTGTACATTGACAGGTATCTGTTCGTGAAGATACCTTTAGACAGTAAAAAAAACTTAAGTGAACCCCACAAAAGTTAGCTAAATACTTTTTCCTGACAATGAATTTCAATGTCATTAAAATATATTCTACAACATGTTTTTTAACAAAAAAAACACATGTTTTTAGGCTCCTTTAGACACTAACCCAAATATGTTCGGTTTACACCAAACATCTCTATATCTGGTTTAACTCACAGAGATTGCAGTTTTTGAGATTTAATATCAATTTTTATTTACATCAAAAGTTCAAAGTTTATTTTGTAATCTTAGAATAATGAAGTACTTAAGAGGATATACAGTTCTCACATATCATGTTTGATAAACTATGCATCTCCCCATGTTTGCTCCAATTACTTTTTTAAATGCAACTAGTTTTGTATGTAAGATAAGATACTATAACATAAAGTACATTGTAACAACAATATAACAACAAGGTCACCACTGATTACATATATGTGTGTAGTCATTCTTTTGTCCTATCATCACAGTTTCTACACACAACTCAACAAGATGTTGAGACCTCCTCCCTCACACCAACACATTAAAAGCAGTAAACAATAAATTTCACACTTCATTTAATACTTTTGAAGATCCTTCCTATATATATTCTTCACCAATCACCATCATCACATTCATCTCACTACCTGCTGGCTGCTGCAAAGGAGGAGAAGGATAGAGATCCTTGCAAGCATTCTTCATCATATTATCTGCTCCAGCACTTCTTCTCATTGTCAATGACCCATGGCGGCGAAGAGGGATTGATTTACCCTGACAGGGTTGTAAATCCTGTGATGAATGTCTCTGCATGTTGCTGTTGTTATTATCATCACCATATTGAGATGGAGAGGAATTATATGTTCTTCTGCTGAAGCTTGTTATGTTTTGCCTTAATGGACTCAGTTAGTGTCATGTAGTTTGGTATGTTGTTACTCGGCAGCACCTGTTCTTCGGGCAGAGAAGAAGACATCGGTGAATGACTGGTGCTGTCATTGTTATACAACTGATGCCAGGATGGTGATGATGATGAACACAGCTGATCGGATGGAGGGATTGCTTCTTTTGCTGCTGAAATCCTGGTAGACATGTTGTTTCTCCTGATTTTGACAGAAGAGCTATTAGTATGTTCTTTTATTTGTAATCTGCCATTGATTGTATATTTCCTTTCACAGCTACATTTCTGAAGTGATAGAAATGATAAAAATTCCGTTTAGATGTCTGCTTAAAGATACCTTCAGATGACTTTCGATGAGATTCAATTTCAAAACTAACTAGAAAACTTAGCAAAGTACATGTATGGCAACCTAATATTTATTTTTTAAGCTTAAATAAGTCAACAGATCTTTCCATCATTTGCAATGGAGTCAAAGATTCATTATTTTTTGGCTTGAGAATATGATGGAATAAAGCAAAATGACTCACTAAACTGTCTGCGCTTCTTTGTTATGAAGCAGCAGTCAGTCCATGCAATTTTGGACGCGATTTTCACTATGGGTCATCCGGAAACAGTCTCTCTGTGCTTTAGTACAAGGCTAAGACTGCGTACATCCGACCCCCCCTTACCCCACTGTAGGTGGGAGCCTTTGCGGCACTGGGGTGAATGAAAATGAAAAAAATGAAATAAGTCATCAGATCTCACATCACCTGTTCTGACATATATGTGATGCTTTCGAGGATTGGATGTAAATCACTCACTGACAAGTATCTGTTCATGAAGATACCTTCAGAAAGTTAAAAAAAAAAAAAAAATAAGTGAACCCAACAAAATTTAGCTAATTACTTTTTCCTGACATTGAAATTTCACCTGAATTTTTTTCAATGTTATTAAACTGTATTCTATCACACGTTTTTTAGGCTCCTTTAGACAATAATCCAAATATGTTCGGTTTACACCAAACATCTCTATATTTGGTTTAAATCACAGAGATGTCGGTTTTTGAGATTTAATATCAATTTGACAATTTCATTTGCTTCAAAAGTTCGAAGTTTATTTTGTAATCTTAAAACAGAACAGAGTACTTAGGAGGATATACAATTCTCACATATCATGTTTGATAGTTATGCATGTGCCCATGTTTGCTCCAATTACTTTTTTAAATACAACCAGTTTCAGAATGTAAGATAAGATACTACTCCCTCCGTCCCCCTAATATTGGGACAGAAGAGAGTGGTGTAGTTTAAAAAAAAAGTAGAATTATGTGGTTGATAATGAGTTGATAAAGTGAGAATAAAGTAAGAATGAATTAGAGCCGCACAAATGTTATGAAATATGGTATGGGACAATAATAGGGGGCATCCAAAAATTGAAAAATGGGATAATTATAGGGGGCGGAGGGAGTATAACATAAAGTACATTGTAACAACAATATTACAACAAGATCACCACTGATTACATATGTGTATAGTCATTCTTTTGTCCTATCATCAGTTTCTAAACACAACACAACAAGATGTTGAGACCTCCTACCTCACAACCTGCTGGCTGCTGCATAGGAGGAGGATAGAGATCCTTGCAAGTTGCAAGCGTTCTTCATCATATTATTTGCACCAGCACTTGTCATTGTCAATGACCCATGGCGGTGAAGAAGATAGGAAATGCTGTGATGAATGTGTTTGCATGTTGGTGTTGTTATTATCATCATCATATTGAGGAATTATATGTTCATCTGCTGCAGCTTATTATGTTTTGCACTTTTGCCTTAATGGACTCAGTCAGTGTCATGTAGTTTGGTGTGTTGTTACACGGAAGTTGCTCTTCTTGGGGTGATGAAGAAGACATCGGTGAATGGCTTGTGATGTCATTGTTATAAAACTGATGCCAGGATGGTGATGATGATGAACACAGATAATCAGATGGTGGGGTTGCTTCTTTTGCTGCTGAAATCCTGGTAGACATGTTGTTTCTCCTGATTCTGATAGAAGAGCTGTTAGTGTGTTGTTCAAGATTGGGTCCTCCTACTCCTCCAGGGGTGGTTATCATCATCCCACCAGATGATGAGTCAGTGTCTCCTCCCGCTGAGTTACTAAACTCCCAACGTTTGCTTGCGACCCAACGATCAAGCTAGCTATTTTCTCCTTCCGTCTCCCCTGCTGTCTTTATCTTTGTTGAACTCACCAGCTAATTTCTTGTGCCATAGGGCTTGAGCTTAGATTGGTTCTTGTCTGCAGTTTAAAATTAGCATAAGCAATGGCTCTCTCAGTCTCTCCCTCTTCATGGCACCTTCTTGCTTCTTCATCAACTACACCTTCTTCTACTGTTCCTGGGCTATTACTCCATTCTCAGGAGCTTGTTTGATCGGATCAATCATCTCAGGAACTTAGAAGAAGAAGGAGCTCTAACTCGTGCTTGAACTCGAACAAGAGCCTGCGTGCACCTTGATGTCACTGCAGCTTGCTTGTTTACCCGTTGACCACAAATTATATTGCCTGTATCCTCACCACTCCTCTCAGCACCATCAATGCCCGTTTTGCCAGAAACTCCTCTCAGCACCATCAATGCCCGTTTTGCCTGAAAACCACGAAAAGAAGTCTGGATCCGAATTGCAACCCATTCCTGGTGCGCAGGCCTAACCTAAGTCACCATTGCGGCAGCCAAAGTGCTATCGGATACGAATGAAAAAATGGATCCTTCTGAATCTTTATGATACTTCTCAGATCTTCCAGCCCTAGACCCGCCCAATCCAGTCCTCCACAGCTTCCAGATCCGCCTGATCATGTCCCTCTCTCCTTTGTGGTGGTGTTTTTGGAGTGAGATTTCTGATAAGCGATTTGATCCAATTTCCAGAAGGGCTCATGCTTTAACCCAACACAGATAATCTCTTTTAACAAACAGAACCGTTTCTCCCTCCTTTTCTTCTTCTGTAAAATATATGATTTTTTTGTTGTTGATAGGATAAAGTAAAAGATATGATAATAATTAACTTTTAAATGTCTACTTGTATAAATTTTTACACCACTTTGATGAAAGTTAACAACATCACCGAACCTTTGTTCTGGCAGAGCAATCATTTAGTTTGTGTCAATCTACAATTTAAATGTGCTTCCTGTTTTTAGAAACATTTTATCACATTTTTAGTCTCCTTTTGATAAGTTTTTTATTTACTATTGATTTGTATTGAGTCCAAAATTTATTTTGTAATCTCACAAGTCACAATAGAACAAAGCACTTAAGAGGATATACAATTCTCACATATCGTGTTTGATATGTGAGAACTATGTAATCTGATGCTTATTGCATCTCTCCATATTCCACTACTATTACATGTCCAATTGCGTGAATTATTTTACCCCTTAGACAAAAGTTAAGAAGGGGAGTCTTGGCGCACCAGTTATGGTGTTGCTGTGTGAGTGGTGTGACTGAGAGGTCATGGGTTCAAATTTTGGGAGCAACCTTTTGTCAAAATGATAAGGGAAGGCTTGCCCCTTACACTCTTGTGGTGGGACTCTTCGCCGAACCCTCGCTTTCCGGGGACGCTAATGTGCACTGGGCTGCCCCTTTAGACAAAAGTTAAGAAACGCCTAGGTTCTGTCGAAAGCATTTAATTGGTGTCAATCTACAATTTACATATGTTCGGTACGTTCTTCAAAGTCAACCATCTATTCAATTTGGGGTAACTTTAAGCTATTACTGGCAGATGCCAAATGCCAAATTTTGACATACCAGACTCTAGACCAGGTTTAAAAAGTCAAATCTAAGTGATAACTTCTCATTAAAAGAGTGCATTAGCATACACCATCGCAACAAATGTGTTCTCATCTTTTATTTGTTCATGCAGCGACAAAACAATGCTTGAAAAAGAGACTATTTGAGCAGCAAATTGAGCAGCTCCCCAGTTTCCAGTGGAGCTGCTCCATTGTGATTAAAGTATTTGTACTGTTATCCGCAGAACAGTTATATTGCAACTAATTTCCCCAAGAAGTAAGAACTACTGGAATGAGTCTTTTTTTAATGTGGTTTATATTGAATTATGCCTTATTAATAAACTATGTGTTAAGACTCGGGGTTCCATCCTAAAAGGTCAACCTGATATGAGGAGTAGCCCGAAGCTTAATATAGCACTCTAGTGCTTCTCAATTTTCCGGTGTGGGACATTTAACACCCCTCCTCACGACCAGACACTTCGTATGGATCGTGTCGTCATTTTTCATAAGGGGCCCCACACCATGGATCGATTTGGCTCTGATATCATGTTAAGACCCGGGATTCCATCCTAAAAGGTCAACCTGTTAGGAGTAGCCCGAAGCTTAATATAGCACTCTAATGCTTCTCAATTTTCCGGTGTGGGACATTTAACACTATGTTTTTTATTCTTATGTAATCATCCAGTTTCTAGATCAGCCACTTGCTATAGCTGTGCCAACGTCGAAATACTTTCCACTTCAAAAGACGTCAGATTTACTTCTTTTTCGGGTCAGACAAATGAAAATTGCACAATTTTCTTCTTCTTTTGGTTTCATTGAAGGATACCACTAATCGCATGTCCAGTGGTTGTGCAGTCGGGTCTTTACAGCTTAGTGGATGGCATTATGACACGAAACTATGGCACGGTTATTCGTGGATATGAGTACTATCTCAGTAACTTAAAAATCTTCCCATTTCAAAAGTAGGTAGATTAAGAATAGTGAAAGAGGATATGAATTATTGAGGGTATGATGGGAAGATAGTGAAATAATATGATGGAATGTAGGATAAATCCAAAAAAGGTCCTTACTTTTTACAGTTTAGCATACAAAAAAGAAAACAGAAATGTGAAACACATTATACTACCCAAGTCCCAAAAACAAATTTCCACTTTGATCTATATACATATTAATGCAAAAAGTAAATATTTAGGGCCTGTTTACTAACAGCAATATTTTCCTGTTTTTCAGAAAACTGGAAAACTGAAAAACAGAAAACAGGAAACGTGTTTACCAAAGAAATTGCTGGAAAACTGGAGAAAGGAAAAAAGAAAAACGCGTTTACCAAATCGTTTTCCATCTCAGAAAAATGAGACATGTCTCTCTTTTCCTTAATGATTTGGAGAAGTGACTTTTATTAGTTTTCCAAATTTGGAAAACGCAGATGCTACAGTGCCGCTGCAATGAATTTGCATACTTACACCTAGTGGTGGGTCTGGTCCCGCTCCGATGTCGATTTCATTCCGGTACCTCCATCCTCGTACCTTACCACTTACCCCTACCCACCCAACCCAACCCCTCGTACCCATTTTTCCCTATAATGACCCCACCCCCTACCACATGCCCCTACCTCGACCCCACCCCGATCTACCCTACCTTACCGCCACCCCTACCACCTCGACCCCACCCCAACCCACCCTACCCTACCCCCACCCGTATATTACCCTTACCCCCTACCACATGCCCCCTACCTCGGCCCCACCCCACCGCCATCCTACCCCCACCCTCGTACCGCCATCCTACCCCCACCCTTCCGCCATCCTACCCCCACCACCATCCTACCCCCCACCCTACCTTTCCCCTACCTCGGCCCCACCCCTACTTTACCCCAACCCTAACCCCACCCACTACCCCCACCCTTACTGCCATCCTACCCCCCACCGTATTTCCTACCTTGGCCCCACCCTACCGCCATCCTATCTCAACTCCCTACCCCTACCTTACCTCAACCCTACCCACTACCCCACCCTTACCCCTAACCACGACCCTAACCCACCCACTACCCCCACCCAACCCCCTACCCCTAGACCTTACCACCCCACCCCGACCATACCCCTTACCCCACCCTCACCCATAACTTCCCTACCCCGACCCCTACGAGTAGGTATGGGTGAGTATGAAGGGTTGTGGGGGGGTATGGGTAGAGTGTAAGATCGTGGTAAGGGTGGGGGTCAAGGGTGTGAAATTGGAGAACTGAGTGAAAAAATTGATGAACATGTTTTCATATTTGAAAATGGAAAACTAAAAAATAGAAACAGAAAATTGGAGATGGAAAAACTGAAAAATAAAAACAGAAAATTGGAGAACGAAAAACAGAAGTAGAAAACAGGAAAATATCTCTGTTAGTAAACAGGCCCTTAACTTTTCAAGTGCACCCTTACTTTATTTCAATTTTCAAGTGGAACAAAAGTAAGCAAAAAAGGTAATAGAGACATTTGCCTTCAAAAAATTGTCCTTTGTATGGAAATGGGAACCTCTTTTGAGGACATCTAAATAAAGTGGAACTTGTTTTTGGGAAAAGCTATTGGTACACAAAATTTGTACACTTTTTGTGTACACCCCCCTAGTTGCCTGTGTTTTTAGGGTGGAGGGAGTTATTTAAGGGTCATTCTTGGTGTACACAAAATGTGTACACAAATTGTACATTGCTTGTGTACACAGGCAATTAGGAGGGTTTCGGCATCAAATCTGCCCCTTTTCAAATGAATTGTCTGTGTACAGACAACTAAGGGGTTTTGTACACTTAGTGTACAATTCATTTACACTAAGAATTTTTCTATTTTAAATATAGAAACGGTATATTATTGTATGCTAAAACCTGCTCAGCTTGGATTTGCTTTACTACCTGTATTTGTATTTGACCATATAGTGAATGACCACATCCTTGTAACTGGAAGAGGAAATTAGAGCCTTAGAAGTTGGAACAGTTCATTGTTCTGGCAGCAAATGAGAACAAAAACAGTTATTATTGCATTGAACTTTTCCTAACTGTTGCTTGTGTAATGTGCCATACTTGTGGTTTTTGGAAGACAGGAAGTTCTGGGGGAAAATCAAACTCAAACATTTTTAATGGGAACTTTTGCATTTGAATGAGAGAATGTTGTTCAACTTGTAGGATCGAAAGTGACCACATCATCTCCACACTTATTTTGAATGAAATTTACGAAATGCTACAAGTACAAAGAAATCCGCAATAAGTGTTAGTTTGTTAATGTAAAAATACTATGGTATGTTCATGTTTTTCTTGTATTTTATCATTTTATGTCCATTATACTCATACCTTATTCATGATTGCTTGTGTATTGTGTTGATGTTTTGTATATAGATTAATAACAACCCTTAAAAGTTCATGTGTATTTAATCAGAATTTTAAAACATTGATTCAATTCATCAAAGTAAAGAATTCAAGGTGTCTTCAATTAGGACCTACAAGTAAGATTATAAGGTCAACACATTCTTCATATTTATGGGTTTGTGGAGTTAAAGTCTTAGAGTTCATTTACTTTTGTAGTTTTAGTAATTCTAGACCCCAACTTATTCTTCTCAACAGCATTGTACGCTATTTTAATATTGTGCAAGTTTATGGTAGAAATTTCTTTAGCAAACTTTGTTGAGAATCCTTAGACTTCTGAGGAAGTTTGTCTTAAAAAAAGTTCATATAATGGAAATACAATATCTGTTAATGAATATTGCCTTGTGTTTATCTTTACTCTATGAATGAGTAATCAACAAGGGTTGGCTTTTTATGAACCTTCCCTTCCACCTTCACGGCTTCAATGGAGCCTGCCACAGTGCCACCTGTGGGCTGTGGCCAGAGCTCCATCAACAAATTCCTTGTTACTAGCGAGATGCTGGTTAAATTGTTTCCAATTAATATATGTACGGTTTAATTGTACTCCGTCAATCCCAAATTATAAGGCACTTTACGCCAAATTATAAGGCACTTTACGGTTTACGATATTTGACCGACGATAAAACAAATTGATCCCTGTAAACACTCAAATTAGTTTTAGAAAATAAAATTTATATATTCAGAAACTACAATAAAATCACTACAAAACCGGAAAAAATTATTCAAATTTCATAAAATTTTGATATGTAAAGTAAGAGATTAAGAGTGATTTGTGTTGACCAAGTGAATAGGAAAGGTATTCTATAAAATGGGACCGAGGGAGTGATTTTTATACCCTTCTAACAGGAAAATATTAAAGTATGTAGATACCAGAAAACAATGTTAGAGATGCACTTCGTAGTAGAAAAGAGACATGTAATTTTTTATATATAAAAAAGAGATAAATTTATAAAATCTGAAATTAACTAACTAATCTATGTGATTTAATCTTTAATACGGATATGATTTGACTCAAATATATTAGCCCAAGATCCAAAAACAATACAGGGGTTGACCGGTTGAGGTGCCAGTGTGCCACTCAGAAATGGAGTTGAAGAACATCAACCACAAGTCCATAACTAGACAGTCATTAGCCCCAAGGATCCAGGCATCCAGGCTCCAGCTGACAATCTGACTAATCTCACACCAGAATGAAAGTAACGGAAGAAAAAAACATCAATGGCAAGCAACATAAACACCATCACGGTGAAGAACAGTGAAACAAGATAGTTTTACACACAGAATATATAAATATATAGAAAACCACAAGCAAACCAGAGTTTTAGCAGCATTGACACCACTCATCCACTCATGTATTGTGATGCATCATCCCAAACATTTGGGAATTTATTAAAAAAAAATGAAAATTCAAAGCAAACCACATACTTCTAGGTTAATGCAGCCCCAAATGACTGTCAGTCGCTAGAGATGTGATTCAAATGCTATATGATGAGGAACATATAGAACACACTTTATTTAGTAGTTTAGCATGGCAGGAATTGTGCCTTTGTGGAAGGGCGGACCACAAATAACGTTCAATTAATCATCGTAGTGCTTGCGATGGTGACGACTGTGGTGCTTGTGGCTATCCTCATCATTAGAATCATCATCACCCTGCCAATAATTTGAACACTCAATCGGATTAGAAACTAAGGTAACCACGCGAACAGAGGAGTCAAATGTTGTAGGAATGTACATTCACACTATAGAATGGCAGATAACGTGAAATTAATGCAAATTCTATGTTTCTTCTGGATGTTGAAGTACTATTTTAAAATTACCTTCCTAGCTAAAGTCTGGACCATATGTGTGTGCTTCAATAAGCCAACTATGGACTATAGTGAGATAACATGGAATTAATGCAAATTCTATGTTTCTTCTGGATGTTGAAGTAGTAGTACTATTTTAAAATTACTTTCCTAGCTAAAGTCTGAATCATATATGTGTGTGCTTCAATAAGTCAACTATGGACTACAGTGAGATGCAGCAAGAAGACATTTTTTCACCGTTAGAGGATGGGAAAAAGTACAAATTGCATAGCTAACATGAACTCAGCATAGGTGTTCCAAATGGAAAGTTCCACCAACAGGAACAAAAACATAATACAGTTCATGAAGAGAAAAGCTGGTGGTAGGAAAAGGTTAGGCAATAGGGTAATTGTACATATATACTAATATACCTAAATGAATAAAGGACATAAAGATATTCATTGGGGATAAATCTGTGCAATTACCCTCATTGTGAAACTCATTGCCTGAACCAATGCCTCAGCACACCTCACTCTTTTTTCAAATAGAAGTATCATTTAAAAAAGGATTAATTTACTGGTAGGGAAAAGGAAGGATGGTCCTACACTCCTACTTGAACACATTAGATTTGGTATACTTTCTTTTCCTTTCAAATAAATTGTTAGGGATTCCTAGAAGGTATTCAACAAAGTATAATAGTAGATGGTTGGAAACCATCACGCTTACTAGGCAAAATAATAGTGAAACATTGCCCTAAGAGTTATAGGCTTATACTCTTATAGCGGTATTAGAGCACATCAATATTTACCAATGAAACAACAATGCAATGACCATCAAAAGGAAAAACAGGTCCACTCATCCTATGGCAAAACAAGTGAATTAGTTTGAGAAAAAGTTATAGAAATGCTCACATATTTCTTGCGACCATATCCTTCATCATCATCACCACGCCTCTCATAGCTAGGCTTCCTGTATTCCTCCTCCTCATCGGGCTTTTTATAGCTCGGCTTCCTGTATTCCTCCTCCTCATCGGGCTTTTTATAGCTCGGCCTATCATAAGTTGACCTCCCATAACCTTCAGTCTCTTCAGCATTGTAGCTTGAACGACCATAACTGGGCCTTTCTTCACCATAGCCTGGTCTCTCTCTCTCTGGCTCTGCTCTTTCTCCACCAAAGCCATACCCACTTCCCTCTTCCTGTCCATAGCTTGGTTTTCTACCATACCCACTAGATTCATAATCAGAAGCAGGCTGCTGATACTCACTCTTCCTTCCATACGTGGATCCATATTCAGAAACGGGCTCTTCATTTCCACTCTTACGCCCATAGCCAGATGCATACTCGGGCTCTTCATTTCCACTCTTACGCCCATAGCCAGATCCATACCCGGAAACAGGATTTTGTTCTTCCTGCCGGCGTCCATAGCCAGATCCATATTCAGAAGCTGGCTGCTCATATTCTGTCCTACGGCCATATCCAGATTCGTGTTCAGAGCTTGGCTGTTCGTACCCGCTCTTACGCCCATAACCAGAACCGTATTCAGAACTGGGACGTTCGTCCTCGCTCTTCCGCCCATAACCAGAACCGTATTCAGAACTGGGGCGTTCGTCCTCGCTCTTCCTCCCATAACCAGAACCGTATTCAGAACTGGGACGCTCGTCCTCGCTCTTCCTACCATACCCTGATCCATATTCAGAGGTCGGTTTCTCGTATGCTGGCTTACGACCATACCCGCCTTCAGATCCGAATCCGCCCTCTCCGTACTCAGATTCAACGCCTGGCCGATTCACCCCAGGCTGGAACCCATAGTTAGGGCGTGGATTCTCAGATCCACCATACCCTGCTCCGGATGAGCCTCCATAAGAAGGGGTAGGCCGAGGCTTAGGTCGGGCATAGCTCTTGTACTCATCATCAAGAGCTGCATCAGCATAGGCAGATGGCTCAGCAGAGGAGGTATAGTGGGGGCGGTCGTAGTCAAATTGGCCGGAGGATGACGAGATGGGATAGCAGGTTTCCTCCGATGGGGGAATGGGACGGCCGTATTCCAGGGTAATGTCGTAGCCTCCGTCGTAAGGGGTGGGGTCATACTCATCGAAGTCGTCGACGGCGTCGTCGCCGGAGTGGTGGTGGCCTTTGGGGTAGTATGACATGGTTGAAATGGATGAGTTAGATTCTTCTGCAGCTGATTTGAATCACAGGTATGGCCAATCCAAAGCGAGGAATGACCTTATTTATGAGTCCGAAAGCTCTACCCAGGGACGGATGTCGTTTCTGTCTAACCCCGAAACTCCCGGGCCCTCTCATTTTGCTTTACCTATTTCTTTATTTTCTTTATTCTAAAAAAAGTCGTTCTTACTAACACTAAAGGGGTGTATTGTATTAGGAATTAGTGGCAAAATTTTAAAAGTTTAGGTGTATTCAATGTGCACTTTTAAAAGTCCACAAAAATCTAGGTGTATTCAATGAGGACTTTTAAAAGTCTATAAAAGTCTAGGCGTATTCAAATTTTCGTTCATTCTTATTGACTTCTAAAATCATGGATTCTCGTGAACTTTTAACTCATTTTAGTGCAAAAAATCTCTGCAATTGTCTCTTCTCCTCACCAAAGATTTTCGTGGACTTTTCTTATATCGGTTCTTCATCCCGTCCCACCTCATTCCTCCCCTCCCTCCTAGGGATGGACCGGGCCTGACCCGGTTTTGGTTCCAAGTCGGGCCCGACCGGGCTTGGAATTTTTTGGGTAAGGCCCGGGACTGGCCCGGGAGTCTATTGGTACCGGGTCGGGCCAGTTTCGGGTTGGTTCATTTTTTTGGGTTTTCTTATATTTTTCAACCCTCACCCCCCAAACCCCTCCAAAACACCCAGCCCAACCTACCTACCATAGGCCCAAACCCAAAAAAAACAAAAAAAAAAAAAAAAAACAAATAAAGCCCGGATCAGGCCCGAACCGGCCAGGCTGGTCCTCAAATACGCAGTCCCGGAACCGCCCCAATTAACCCCCCGGGTCGGGCCTAGGCCCGGTACCGATCCACCGGGCCGGGCTTCATTTATTTTTGTAGAACTTTGTGTTGCTATATGAATTACATTTTTTAATTATTTATTTATTTATTTATGTTGAGGTTTTGTCCTGTAGATCCGGAAGCCCAACATAAACTTCGGATATTAAGGACGATGGATTCGGTATAAAAGTGAATAATAAATATAAAGTGTGTATGAACTAGCTATTTTTACGTGGAAACCCGGAAAGGGAGAAAACCACGGGACTTTTTAGGCTAACGTCCAAGCCCGCTCTTTCTCATTAATATGCTCCCATCACTCCTTTACATAATACAAAAGTTGAAGTCTCCATTAATGGAGCATGAATAACTACTCTAATCTAAGGAAGAAGAAGTAATGCAGGAGAAGAGAACCAAAAAAAGGATCCTTTCATCAGGAAGTCAACCTTCCTATTTATAGATGGGGGAGGGAGTAAGGGGTTTCTCCATGGGCCAATGGGCCTTGTTGGGCCGGAATGGGCCGAGTAGGTCCCAACGGGCCGGTTGGCCTAAATGATCCTTGCTAACTGGGCCCTGTACCGGGGCGGTGTATTGGGCCTCTAAACAGTAGTAGGCCGGGGTAATATACCCAACACAAGTCCCCTAGTTTCTTGAGTAGTGAGCCTGTGAATCTGCTCGAGAAAGTATACTCTTGCTCACGTCCTTCCCTGAATCAGTGCTTGAATAGTCTTGGACGCAAGGCATGCATAAATGATGAACAAGTGCAGTCCCTCGCTAGGCACGGCGGCGCTGAAAAGCCAGCCGCTCGTGCTGTATAAAGCGGCGGTCGCCATCCCAGATCAAGGATGGACGAGCCCGATCGAGAGCCAGGCACGACGGTGTTGTGGAGACCGTGCGTGCTGCATAAGAGCGACGGTTGCCATCCCAGAGCAAGGATGGACGAGCCCGCCAGAAAGCCAGGCACGACGGTGCTGTGGAGCCCGTTCGTGCTGCATAAGAGCGACGGTTGCCATCCCAGAGCAAGGATGGACGAGCCCGCCAGAAAGCCAGGCACGACGGTGCTGTGGAGCCCGTTCGTGCTGCATAAGAGCGACGGTTGCCATCCCAGAGCCAGGATGGACGAGCCCGCCAGAAAGCCAGGCACGACGGTGCTGTGGAGCCCGAACGTGCTGCATAAAATAAGCGATCGTCATCCTAGATTAAGGATGGACCAACATGACTCGGACAGACATGGACTTGACTCGACTCAGACAGACCTGGACTTGACTCAGACGGACATGGACTTGACTCGACTCAGACAGACCTGGACTTGACTCGGGACCACTGCGGGCCATCATGAATTCACATCACCTCCCAGCCAATTTATATCCCCCGTTCGCTCGCCTTCGCCGAACGGGTCGTTCTCCCCCGGTCGTTCCAAACAATAGTTCCATTCGCCCCGTCCTACTAGAATGGTCTGATGTACAACGATGATCACATCGTGCCGAGGTGGCTGATCATAGAGCTACAGAAGCGGTCAGATCATCTGGATAATAGGTAATTTGTGCTACAAGTCAGCACCAGGGTTAAGGTGCAAGCTGTTCGGCTTATTTCCGCCATTTGTTCATAGTTTCCTGATCCGCAAGGCATCACCTCTTGCTGCCTGCTGCCTTGTAGGCCCAAGGCTGATGTAACTTGTTCGTGTTATCATCCGTGTTCTTCCTGATCCGCAAGGCAATCACCTCTTGCTGCAAGACAGTTTCACAATTTGTGTAGTGTCTGCCATCTTCCAAGCCCATGATTTCGATGCATACCGTCGGTTTTACCGTCCGGGGTCATCCATATCATGAGGTTGAGATGTCCATCCTGGACCATTGAGAATAAGGCTCCCAATTCGGGTCTCCCCCTTATTCTCTGCCAAAAATGGAGACTCGCCTCCAGGTTACAACTCGGGTTCCACCACAATAAATCACTACATCGTGGTTCGGGCGAGCTGCATAGCCAAGGCAAGATTTTAAGACCAGAGTCCCGATCCCCCGCTCGGTCACCCTATGGTTTCGGATGCCGCCCGGTTCGTCCTACTCAAGATCTTTTACACCATCTCCCAAGCTGAGTCCGGGCTTGGTTAACCTGCATCTTTTTCTTTTTTTTTTGTGCTGAGATGGTGGCTCCCCATGGATCGAGACAAGTGGTATCTATCGATCGAGGTGAGACTTTATGGAATGTGAAGATGCCTCCTAAGCAAATAATGTTGTGCCGTGGGGCTGATCATGATATGAAGACATGAATAAATCCAAGGGTCTTGCGAGCGCCCTCTGCTCAAGGACAGCAGCAGCAACTGCGGCAGCGGTCCACAAAATGTAGCCATGCTGAAAGTCAAGCAATGGTCCTCATCCGTGCAGTGCGGGGACGAGGCCGCTTTTCAAAGATGATAAACACGTATTGCCGACAGGCTGATCGTGATATGATGATGTCGTCAATGAGAAGCCAACCTGAAAATCAAGCAACGGTCCTTATCCGCGCAGTGCGGGGACAAGGCCGGTCTTCAAATGTGATAATGGCACCGTAGCAGAGGGTCGGTGGCCATGTAATGAGGTCGCCACTGGAGGCCGATCGGAAAGGAACAAGCAACGGTCCTTATCTGCGTAGTGCGGGGACAAGGCCGGTCTTCAGATATGATAATGGCACCGTACCAGAGGGTCGGTGGCCATGTAATGAGGTTGCCACTGGGGGCTGATCGGAAAGGAACAAGCAACGGTCCTTATCTGCGTAGTGCGGGGATAAGGCCGGTCTTCAAAATGATCACCATGACGAGCCAGGAGAGTCGGTCGTGGTGAGAGGAAAGTCGACGCTGGGAGGCCGATCTTTAAATCTGAGGGTCTTACATGCGCCCTCAGCCCATAATGTTGCTCTAGGTGCCGGACGGCGGAGGCCGGACTGCCAGTCGGGTAGCATAATCTGAAAGCTCGTGTATCGTACAGTCCATAGGACTTCCCTTCATGTGTTGTGATATCTATACATTTGTAGTCCCTTCTTTTCTCAATCGTCCGTGATTCCTTCTACACACTTGTAGCCTCATTCTCTCTTTTCTCTCTCTCTCTCTCTCTCTCTCTCTTTTTTTTCCCTTTCCCTTTTTTCTTTCTTTCCTCTCTTTTTTTTATTTCCTTTCCCTTTTTTTTTTTTGCGTTTCCCGATCTTCCCGTCCGGTCTGACCGAACGGCTCTAAATGTAAATGTTCCTTCTTTTTGTTGCCAATCATGAGCGTCTCTGCGCGTCACGTCGAACGTCATGAACATCTCTGTGCGTCATGAACGTCTTTGAATAAATGTGATTCTTTTCTTGTTGTCGGGCATGAACGTCTACGCGCTTCATGCTGAATCGTCATGAACATCTACGTGAATCATGACCTCCCGTTCGAGAATATCTCAAGAATCTCACTGCACAGTAAGCATGGTAATACGGCCGTACGGCCGAACAACATATACAAGTATATACAATTACACACATGTTTAACATTTCCCTTTTATTCTTTATTTTTCATCCATGACTATCGGCCGAAGCGGTAATGATAACCCTTGGCCTAGATTCATTTCTTAATCTGTTAGAGTCCACGACTCGAACCACCTAGTGTTTTGTTGGGTATTCAAGTACGTATTTCGCCCCGTACTGGGTACAGTTGCTGTTCGGGCACTCAATGCCGAACGAGACCATGAGTAGTCTCCAAGTCAAAATACGTCATCGGGCAATGCCCTTGCGAGACGCTTTAGCTACTTTAGGCCGATCGGGGGTGGACCGATATGCCCAGTAAAACCAATCATTTAATTAAAATGATGGCGAGCTTTTATTAGAGCCGAACTCATTGCTAGAGCACGACCTTATTCCGTTCGGGGTGTTTTTTACCCTTAACACCGGTTATTTAACTAAAAATGATGGCGAGTTCATTACTAGAGCTTCACTCGGCCCTATTCTGTCCGGGAACTTTAATCCCTAATTCCTGTCATTAAAAGTTAAAATGACGGCGAATATCTATCATTGGAGCTTTCCTCGATGATATTTAACTCGGGATATTCTTATCCCACTAAACAAATAATGGTGATGTGTAATTAATAGTAATATTACTACATCGTTTCATTTAATATTTTCATGGACGTGCCACCAATGCCGAACGAGCCCAAGGGTGGCTTCGAATTTAAAAAACGTGTCAACAGGATAACGTTCTTAAGAGACGCTCCGACCGTTAATTCAGGCCGATCGGGTAGGCCAACGGGCCCTACCAATTATTTAATTACAGGACGGTGAGGTTGTCACCCGAGCCTTTCTCGGAATTAATTTCACATGGGATATTTTAATCCATAGCATTGTAACAGTAGCACTTGATGCTAATCGAGGGCGGACCGATAGGCCCACTAACACCGGTCATTTATACTTAAAATGGCGGTGAGTACCTTACTCGCGATACTAAATCTCGGGATATTTTTATCCTTACCAAACAAATAGTTGCTCAGTTATATTAATAAATCATTTCATTTAATTTTTTCGTGGATGTCCGGTCTCACCGAGCGGGTCCATAGATGCTCCAAACGCTAACTAAGGCCGATCGGGGTAAGCCAATGGCCCTACTACCACCCACCATTTAATTTAAAAATGATGGTGAACTTATCACCCGAGCCTTGCTCGCATTCTTTAATTTCGGGAGATTTTATTCCCTAATAAATAATAGTGATAAAAAATGTTCTTAATAATGCCGCTTGAAATTAATTAGCAAGTGGGAGATGATGCTACTTAGCTGAAATAGGCCTAGTATAGGCTGCCGGGCCAAGTTATTGACCCGGGGAATCTGATCGTGCAGGATGATTGAGCCCATTATTTAGGCAGCCCATCATTCAGTTGAATATGCCATCCAGCTTCTTAGGATTAGCCCATAACCAGCTAAATAGGCAATTCCCCAAACATTCCCCTTTTCCTGCCGATCGGGATTCCCAGAGCTAAGTCCGGAATCGTTGCTGACTGCCGGTCGGGTGTTTGCCGGACGGTGATCCCGGACGGGTGGTGCTGATCGGTGAGGTATCCCCTTTAATTCGCTCCGGCCTCCCAAGCCCACCAGTCGCTGGCGAACCACTATTTGTTAATAACCAGATCCTAGAGCGAGAATGGGGCATAAATTTTCGACTGCATAGGTCAACTTGACCGGACGGGTAGCACGAGCCACTATTTGTCACTTCCAGCCAGACAGGGGTGCGAAGGTGCTGGCCGGTGTTCAGCCGCTGGTTCGCAAGCCTTTTGAAGGGCTGAGAGGGCACTGGAAGTTCATTGATGGTCCACGACCAAGCGGTGGGCGGATCGGGGACGGCGAGCAGAGTGTGTCATGCCGAACGGGGGTAATGAGCAGGTGGCCTACTCTGGGTTATCTACTTTCCTCCGGCCAGGAGGTGGTGCCGTTCGGTTCTGGGTGGAAGATCGATCGGCCAAGTTCAGAGCCAAAGGCCGTGCGGCAGTAGATGTTTTGGGAGACCGGGGTTTGTCCTGTGGATTGGTCCTGTACTGCAATCCGGCCGAGCAGATTGGTCCTGTGCCGATTACCTTGAGCTTTGATTCCCCAGAGCTTTGACTTTTTCCTCCCGTTCAGGTAATCTCCCAGAGCCTTGATTTTTTCTTCTGTTTTGATTGCCAAATTAGGATGGGCAGGGTCATGGCCGGTATATGCTGAGTCTGCACATTCCCGTTCGGTAAACGCTGTTGTTTGGTGACTGAACGACATTTGGACAGGGGTGGCGGTTCCATTGCATCATGGTTGAGAGCACTGTGGGGTTTTCTGCTGGTTCGTGGCTGAGTGTTGGGCTCCCGTTCGGGAGATAATTCATACTGTATCCTCTCCTTCCTGGCAGGAATAATTTGGGAAGCCATTCAAGGCCCGACCGGCCTGCTTGGTCTATATGTATTGCAATCGAAGATTGGAAATTATCGCTACCTCTGCCCGACTGGCCAGGGATGAACGCTGCTCCTTAAGGTATTGTTGATGTTCGGCCTGGTCAAGCCCCTTTGGAGGATGTTCGGGGAGTTTCCGTTCGGCGCTCGGGATGCGGTGTCTCAAGGCTAGGTGATGCCAGAGCAGCCAGGATGCTCGAGCAGGAGGTGCTGCTGTCGAGATGGTTCCTGTTCGGCATTCGGGAAGTGAAACTTGTTTTGGATAATGATGATTGTCAAATCATCCACTAGCTCTGTGTTTGTCAGCCACATGAGAATGATAGATATTTCCTCTTTTCCCAAGTTAGTGGGCATGTGGGCCCACTTACATTTTCTTTTCCCAACATGTCTCTTAGGACATGGAGTGACCAGCTGCTTCACGGATCCTGCATTCTTCACCAGGAGTTCGTTA